CCACTGGGGGGGGGGTTACTACCCAGAGGGAAGTGGCTTACTCATGACAGCAGTGTCATGAGTCCTCAAGTAACTTCATTTTCAAGGCTGAGATGAATCCACATCCTGGTCTACCCTGAAGCCCATCTCCTCTGAGTATCAATATCAGCAAACTCTGATGGCTGGTCCACAGACTCTCCAGGGGAATCAAGAAAGCCCTGAGTCATCCCCTCAGTTGGAAACTCCATTAGCTTGAAGGAGCCAATGGCTGCAGAAAAAGGTGCCAACTTTTTAACTGGCCTGGAGTTTTAACTGGACTTGAGGTGGGTGAAACCTCCAGTCATTGACGACCTAGTCTTGCTATAAAACTCATACAGTAGTTCCAGGACCTTGCTAGGGCATCTTTAATGTTTGGTCTCAGCTTTAGGAGCACCTGTCTGCTTGGTGAGCCAGCAACTACCGACCTCTCCTTGTTTGGGCTACCCCCCCTGCTTTGTGGTGGGCAGCCCATGGATCAATGCTGCTAGGGACAGCAGCACCTAAGCTGAAGGTCCCAGGCTGCAGCTGAGTGCCAGGGGAATGGTATTTCCTGAGATGAAGGAGCAGGTGTGCATCTATGTTTGGATACAATTGCATGCCATTTTTAATCAAGATGGTGGACTCTACCTTTCAAAACTACTCTGATTTCAAAATTGAACTGTTTTCTTTTTTCAGAATTCCTTAACAATGCTGGGTATGAGGTTGCTAATATAATTTATAAATGCATAGTTTGTGAGCAAAAATACATTAAAAAGTATATTAAATATGAGTTGTGGGGCATATTTTAATTTTTTTTAAATGCAGATGAATGTGGAAATAGAATGGAACACTTAAACTTTAACACATGTGAAGAAGCACAAACTGAAAACAGACTGATCCATCAACATCTGCATAAAGCACATGCAGTTGCTGCCACAACCTCCTGGAGAGGCTGTTATCTATAGCTGGGCTATATGGATAGTTCTGCATTACCATACCATCTGACTTCAATTCAAAGTAGTTGTGCAATGATTTAATTAAAGCTATATCATTTCAGCCATCATGTGATAGGTGTTTAAGTGGCCATGGCATGGTTAATAATTGCCTGTTCCCACTCTCTCGCTGATGGAGACGTGGTGGTGGGGGGGACAGAACTGAAATATATTCTAAATTGCATAGACCTATAGTTATTTAGTCATTGATTTTATTCTTATGGTGGGCAGCTGATATTAACAGATGCCTCCTGGCACTCTTGAGCAAAGGGTCTCTCAACGCTGTGATAAACTGCTTAGCTGAAATGAAATCCACAGGGTGCCCTTAACACAAACAGAAACCAATAAAATTACCATGGCCAACATCCGAATAGGCCCACAACCGCAGCATAGTAGTCAGAATTTATGGGAGCAAATGTTTTGACTTATAGTAAGATAGGTCTGCTCACATTGCCTTCTTCAAGGAAGCACCATAAAAGTCAGCATTTTATTTACATCTATATGAAAGTAATGTCATTTAAGGAGCAGTTTGTTAAATAGCCACAAATGGCATTTTTATTAGCCTATTTCCATTGCTCTACATCATGTAATTTTACTACTTGTTAGAGGCTTCATATTATCCTGACCCCTACGTCTCCTCTACGGTGACAGGTTTCTTTATGAAATTTCCAATCTAACTTTGATTTCTCCTGCAAATAATACCAGTACTGGCACACCTTCTGCTTTCACCTGTATATCATTCATTTCTCAGTCATTTTGTCATCTAGCTAGACCTGAAAATTGCTTTCCTGTTGAGCAATTTTTCTCTTCCTTTCTTCCTTTGTTCCCTCTTTTTTCTTTGCTTCCAAAGCTTTCACTGTTTTGGAGTCTCAGCCTAGAGATTAAACATAATTTAAGTCACTGGACTCATAAACACTTTATTCCGGGATTTGTGGCTTTTTCTCATTTCTCACAGTAAGCCTTGAATCTTACTTTTTCACATTTATGTGGTCTACCATCATATATATTTCATTCCCCATTATAAATTTTATCATCTCTGTCTCCTATTCCTCCCTCTGCAACATTCCCCCCTTTCCGATTTTTTGCTTCCCTTCTTTAATATTAATCAGTACAGTGGTGCCTCGCAAGACGAAATTAATTCGTTCCGCAAGTCTCTTCGTCTTGCGAGTTTTTATCTTCTGCGATGCACGGTTTCCCATAGGAATGCATTGAAAATCAATTAATGCGTTTCTAAGAACCGCCTTCAGACCAGATCAGGACAGTCTGTCCCGGACTGCTGAGGCTGGGGGAGAGGGCAAGGCTTTTCTTCCACCCCCAGCATTTTTAAAAAACCCAGGATTGACGGGGACTTCTCCGCTGTCCGGCGTCTTCAAATGCTGGTGACATTTTAAGTCACCCCGGGACAGCGGAGGACTCCGCTGTCGGGGGCTGGGCCCCTGGGAAGGCAGGCAGGGGGACGAGCACCCCCGTAGCCTTCAGAGAGGTCCTGGACCTCTTCTGAAGAAGCGGCGGCGGCCTCCCCGCCTTAAAAGCCCCTCCGGGACAGGCAGGCAGGGGGGGGCAAAGCTCGCCCCGCCGCCTTCAGAGGTCTTCCCTCCCCCCGCCCGGCCGGGCCACCGTTCAGCTTGAGTGGTCTTCCCTCCCCACGCCCGGCCCCGGGTGCCGTTCCGAGAGCGGGCGGCGGCGGAGGTGTTCCTCCCCCGCCCGGCCGGGCCGTTCAGGCGGCGACGGGCTTCCCTCCCACCGCCCGGCCAGACACCGTTCAGCCGGGCACGCAGTCTTCCCTCCCCGCCCGGCCCAGACACCGTTCCCGGCCGAGCGCGGCGGCAGGTGTTCCTCCCCCGCCCGACCCGGACGCGTTCCGAGCCGGGCGCGCATGATGTTCCTCCCCCGCCCGGCCGGGGCCTTCCCGAGCCCCGGCGGCGGCGGAAGGAGGTGTCCCCGCCCCGCCGCCAGGCTTCGGAGGAGTCCCGGGGACAGTGGGAAGACGCGCTGCGCTTCCCGCTGTCTGGATTTCCCTATGGGCTGATAGATGTATGAAGCAAGCCCATAGAAATTCATTTGAAACGCCTCCAAAGCCGGAAAACCCTTTCGTCTAGCGGGTTTTCCGTCTTGCGAGGCGTTCGTCTTGCGGGGTACCACTGTATACCGCATAATTGAAACAACAGAAGTCAGACCATTTGCATTCTGTATGTGAAGACTACAGAAACACCTTAAATCTGAATTATCTGCTGCAGGGTCTTCAAACCTGGGATGTTGTTGTTGTTGATGATGATTCATTGCATTTATATCCCACCTTTTCCCTCCAAGGAGCTCAAGGCAGCATATATGGTTCTCCTATTCGTTTAATCCCCACAACAACCCTATGAACTAGGTTTGGATTAGAGAGTCAGTGACTGGCCCAAAGTCAGCCAGTGAGCTTCATAGCAGAGTATGGATTTGAACTCTGGTCACCTAGGTCCGAATCCAACACTCCAACTACTAACCCACACTGGCTCTTCTGGGATGAAAGCCAAGCCAGCAATCACAAACTTATATGAGTTAATAAGATAGCTGATGGAGAGTCTGAGATGCCTGTCTGCTTTTGTTTGTTTGACAGATTTTGCATACCACTTAACTGCAAATAATGCCTCTAAACAGTGTACAGATAATTGCATCCTTATTGCTCATTATGTTGGTGCAAGGTGAACCCATGGGTGTTTATGGGCTGAGTGCGGCTAAAAAGTTTCCAATGGTCTTTCTACATGAGAGAGGAGACCAACATGATATTATAAAGTGTGAATATGCACATTTGATTATATCTCATGAAAGAGAGGGAGGAAGGAATGAATGTTTAAAGAAAGTGTGAACATAAAATAAATTCAGCTAGCTTGTGGAATCAGGAGCAGTAGCTGTAAGAAGAGGTAATAGCCTTATCTTTCATGAATTTCTTTCATTCATCCATCCTCTTTTAAAGTCATCCAAGCTGGTGGCCATCACTACATCTCAGGGCAGCCAGTTCCATAATATCTAAGATAAAATATGATAGGAAAGTGGTGATTGGTAAACTTCCCATGGCTCATGTTGGATTAAACCTGCACCCACCCAGCCCACAAAGTGGCCATTTTTTAACCAGGGATTGTAAAGGATTGCATGATTCCACAATGGGCCTTACTTCGGAGCAATATTTTAAGTATGTGAGCTTCAAACTGTTCCCTGTATTCATATAGTGCACCATTTCGTAAAGCAATTGTTTCAATAATTAACTCACGAATCTATGTTTTAGTTCTGTTTACATGACACTTGCCTTGGAACTTTCTCAAGATTACCTCATTTTAGGGGAGTTCAACAACACTGTGGAATTTTGAAGGAAAAAAATATTTCTGTTGATGAAACATGGCACAGGAGTGACAACTGAAACATCCATTTGTGAATATAGTTACAGCCACACATCAGAGATTGCTTTTGCTGGGAGGTTAAATGTCATCTTTTCAAATACTGGGATGTAGCCTTATTGGTTTCGATGAAGAAAACCTATTTCTTGTAAAACCATATCCAGTAAATAAGACAGTAACAGGAAATTGAAGGTGTGCATTTCTCTTAAATGTTTGGCTATGTCTTACTGAACACCTGGGATCACTTTTCACTCGCATCTAGCTTCCACTGAGTGTGACTCTTTGTCTGCCAAACATCTCTATTTGATTGAACAAATAAGCAGATTCCCTGGTAACAATCTGCATCCTCCCATTACCTCAGAGGACTTCTTTACATTGGCAAGGCAAATCTTGAGTCCATTTGCTTTTATTTCCGTCTGCCTGTTTTTAGAGGGAGCCTAATGAAACTGTCCAATTTAACATAGTTAGGCAATACTTCAATCCTAGGTCCTCTCTACTAATTAAGAGTAACGTATATTAATAAACACTTTTGGCAGCTGACAGACAGGAGTCAATTAGATTATCACAACCAACTTCAGTTGCTGCTTGGCTCATTATGTATAATGTACTTGGAACAAATCTTCCATTGGGCTCCTAGTATTGAAGCTGCTCTGTGAAGACCTGAAACAGAAGGAAGAAAATGGTGCAGATCTTTTAGGAGCAGGGTTACCTGTGGGCAGCAGGATGCCCCACAAGAACCTTCCTTTGCTGCTAGAGTCCATGGAGTTTTTCAAAGAGCAAGAATGCTATGAGTTTCTTTACATGCAGGCTACCAATGGACAGCGCTCCCTCAAATGCCCATTGGACTATGTGATGGCCATTCAAGGAAGTGCTGCCTTGTTCAGGACCTATGAAGAGAGAGCCCTGTGCCCCTGTGAGCACGTGCAGGACTCTTGAAAGGTTTAAAGCAGGGGCCGGGAGCCATTTCTACAGCCTGAGAGCCACATTCTCTTCAGGGAAAGCTTTCAGAAAACACACACTAGTGGTGGGTAGGGCGAGAAACAACATTTACCTTTGTGCCATAGGCTAATTTCCACATATGTCCACTGTCTATCGTCCACCCAGCAGCAAGAGTAATTATCAGAGTTCAAAGATACGTTCAAGACAGAGATGGAGCAAGTTTGCTCATCCATTTCCGCCGTCCTTGCTAGTTTGCTGGACACTAAAAGTCAATGCCTGTGTAGGACTTGAGTTTAATCAGGTTTAAGTTGTAATCTGATTGGCAGTTTCTTGGGAGTAAGCCCCATTTATCAAATTTATTTTTGAGTCAGCACATAATCTAAGACTGTGCTGTTAGTCAAACACCACACTGCAAACTCAAAATATTTACGTGAAAGAAACACCATTAATTTCAACAAGAGTCATTTCCATTTGGCCTAAACGGCCCAAAATTTAATTTGTATTTCATTCTGTATTGAGCTATCTTCCTCTGGTATTTGCATTCTCCAAACTAAAAAAAAAAACCCTTTAAAAGCTGCATCTTGAGTCTTAAATCAGTCATACACACTTATACCATCTGCTTCCTTTTTACCAACAGGAGAAGCAGATGTGAAGCAAGCCCTATTTTGAACGTGTCACAAGTCATTTATATTCATCATCAAAGACTGAACACCTACTGAAGGTGTAGGAAAATTGCCGTCCCAGGGCATGTCTTCTCTGAGTAAGTTTTCTTCCACATTTTAGCAAATTGGAGCGTTGTAAGAAGAAATTAGTGGGCTAATTAAACCTACTGAAATATTGTTTGATGAGCAATCTAATAGACGAAATGTGAGTGTTGGATATTTGATTAGGATTCATTCATGTGCGATGCTGCTTTGTTGTGTTTTCGTTGCTTTGAGGGTTCCTGAAACAAAGCACATTTAGGACTGTACAAAGAACAGCCTAGTTTATTGGTGCTGTGATCATGCCATTAATTTTTCACATAAGTACTGAATATTGGATAAAAAGAAGGTGATTGAAATGGGAGGGATAGAAATGTGGCGCAAATGATGGCAGACGTACAAAAAACAGTCAGACACACACACACTGCTGATCTAAGGATCAAATCAGCTGCTATTGGAGGAGACACTGCTGCAGATACTGGGGCCCTGAGCTATTTAGAGATTTATTACCAAATAGGGATGGGGGGTGGAATTCAAATTACTTTGTATTTCTAGGTTTTATGCACTTTCCAAAACAATACACAAAATGAGACACAGCCATCCATCAAAATTCTCAACTCAGTTCTTCAGCCAATTAAGGAGTGCAGGAATTCATATACGGGGCAAAGTATGCAAGTATGCATAAAGATGCGTATATTGCTATAAACTGCACACAAAATACTATAAATAACACGCAGAAATTGTATTAGGGAAAATATAAATATTAGGGAAAACATACTTTGGAAAACTGTGTATTAGGAGAAACTTCACTCAAAAATGCTTATACTGTATTAGGAAAAACTGCTGTTGAATTTTCCTGATGACTTTTTAAACAAACAAACAAACAAACAAATGCAAGCTGATGTAGGAATGTGAAAAAGTGAACTTAAGACTGGGAACATGTCCCGGTCAGAGAAGAATGGCAAACCAAGTTGATGAGCTATGCCAAAATGGCAAAATTAACTGGGAAGCTGAGGAATGAAGATGACAAGAAATCTAAAAAAGAATGGGAAATGTTCATAATGTATAAACAAAATCATTGTAAACAGGTCGAAACATTAGCAGGATTTTAAATACACTTGTAATCTAACAAAACATATAGATAAATTAGGAAGGTGAAAAAATGGAGAAATACTGATACGCAGTTGAAAATAGAATAAAAAAGGACCCATGGAGGGGATAAGGGGAAGTCAGGAGTTATCTCGATATTTGGACTTTGTATTGCTTTATGCTGTATGTCTATATATTTGAAAACCCCCAAAAAAAATTATAAAAAAGAAGACTGGAAACATGTGAACCTGGAGGTACTGAAATGGATGGATTTGCCCATCCCTATTAAAACACCAAGAACTGGGCCCAATAGATGAGGGGCAGACCATGATGTACTTTAGTAAGCAGTGTTACCTTCTTCCATTCCCAAGTTAATAACCTGACAGCTGTATTCTATTAATAACCTGACAGCTGTATTCTATACTAGCTACAGCTTCCAGAACATTCAGCGGTAGATCCACATACAGCGCATTGCAATAACCCAAACATTAATGTAGACATTAATTCTATGATATATCTTTCCCTTTGTTCTTCAACATGCAACCCATTCTTCCTGTGTGGTTGTTTTGATTTGGGAATCAACATCTGTTGCATTTTTATTACCTCAGTCCTTCTTGGGATGGTTTCAGTCACTTTCCCCAATTGATGGATATATAGATTTGGGTCGTAAATCTCAACCCAAGAGAAGCCATCATCTTTCCCTTCTAGAAATTATAGCTCTCTTTATTGTCTGCATCTTTTTTTAAAAAAAAATACCTTCATGCCTTAGGATTAATATCCTTGCATGTTTAAAAATACCTGAAAATTTCTTTTGATCAAGTGGAAACATGCCACGTTTCATTCAAAGCACATCTGCTGTTGAAGGCAGGGTAAAGAGTTGAAAAGAGACAACACCAGTGTCTGCCTTTTACGGATTAAGGGCAAGATATATCAATAACATTTCCCACCGCACACCCCCACCCCCGCCCAACTGTCACCCAACAAAGGAGTGAAGTGGAGGCAATGGTGATTAAGCAAAAATCGTAAAGAAAACGAAGTTCAACATTGAAAAACTTACATATATAATGTATATTGTATAAATTATTAGAAGAGCTACACATTATGTATTTCTGTTGACCACATACAGTATTCAAACCAAGGAGTAGCCCACAAATAACACCTGCTCCCTACAAGAATGCCAAAGTATCACACAAAATGCAAATAAATAATGTTGAATGATAATGAAAATTCGTACAATCTAATATTATATACAAAGATCGATAGGGAGACACAACATATTCAGAACTACAAATGTCTTCCACCATAGTGCTTACTTCTGATTCCAACAACAATCAAGTGGCCAAACTCTATATTTATCTGACAGATTTCTAAACTGCCCTTCAGCAAAATCATCATCAACAGCATCATTCAGAACAGTTTACAAAGTTGTGAATAATAAATATAGGGTTTGTTCCAGGTTTGAGGAGGCTCTCTCTGAGTGGTTTTGCCCTCCTCCCTCTTGTTACATTGTTATTTTAAGGATTTTATGCATTCTTTATTTGATTTTGTTTTTACCTTATTATTCTGAAAAGAACAAAATATAAATCATCTACAGAAAGTAAATAAATTAATTTTGTCTTGTTTGTTTCCCCCATTCAATTGCCTTTCCCTTGGTACCCAATCTGCACCAGCATGGTGTAGTGGTTAAGAGCGGTAGACTCGTAATCTGGTGAACCGGGTTCACATCCCCGCTCCTCCACATGCAGCTGCTGGGTGACCTTGGGCCAGTCACACTTCTTAGAAGTCTCTCAGCCTCACTCACCTCACAGTGTGTTTGTTGTGGGGGAGGAAGGGAAAGGAGATGGTTAACCACTTTGAGACTCTTTAAGGGGAGTGAAAGGTGGGATATCAAGTCCAAACTCCTCCTCCTCCTCCTCCTCCTCCTCCTCCTCCTCTTCTTCTTCTTGTTCCTAAAGTGACCACGCAAGAGAGGCTAGGACATGCTAAGATAGCTCCTTTACCATGCTCTCCCCTTAGCTCACTTAGAGAGAGCAAGTGGATAAGTAGCAGAAGGAGCAAGTCCAGAGGACTCCAGAAATGGCCTAGGGCCATCTGGAGAAGTGTGGGACTCAGTATGTTCCCAAAGATGTCAACCCATTACTCGCTTACATTTATATCCTGCCTTTCTGCCATTATGGAACTGAAAATAGCATAGATGTGGCTTCAACACAGTCATCCATCCAAGCACTGACCAGACCCACGTCTGCTGAGCTTCAGTGAGGCAGTGCCAGCCAGACAAGGAGCCCAATTGACTCCCTCTCACCACACCATGAAGGAGGCACAAAGCAGGGCCACCATGAAATGCTTCCATGAAGCTATTCTAGCTAACCTCTGACAGTGAGGATCTTCAGTAAGATGTCAGGCTCATTTGATAAACATTGCATTTTGACGTAGAGGGAGAAGCTCTTCACATATTCTGCCAGTTCAATTCATCAAACAGATGCTGCTAATAGAACTCAGGTTGAATGGCAGGGAGGGGGATTCCAAAAATACATTTCAACAGTTGCCCATTTTTATGCTGGGAAGTGTTTATTTATGATAGTCAAGCAGATACTTCCAAAAGTCTTGAACTGTAGTTCTGTTTTGGGGGTGTGTGGTTTTTTTCTATCGGACTTGCTATTGGCAGTAAAACTGTGACTATCAGGAGTTATCACGTTGATGTCTATCATTTAACCTCAAATACAGACTCCAAGAATATCATTACAATGTTGCAGAACTGGAAATACAAAATAGAGTGACTCCTAATTGTGGAAAATGGAACTCTGAAAATTGTGCTTTCCATATTCATGTCAGGTGTCAGCATTCTTTTTCTGCAGTGGGAGCTCGAGTAATTTGGATTTTCACAGCATTTATTTCGCAGCTTGATTATATATTTTCTGGTACAGTTCAGAATTGGACATATTTGGAGCTGGTGTCACATCAAACTGGGTCCAATGTCATGACCTATGAAAGCTGGATACAGTTAACGATTTGTGTTTCAAAATGCTTCTGAAATGGTCATAATTGTAATACTTCACATTCGGACAAAAACCAAACAGAAAGCAGAAAGAGTATTTTTGTTGTTGTTAGTATGAGTAAATTGATGCAGATCACAAAGCCTTTTCAATAAATTACAGTCTTCGCTTAAAAGGAAAACTATTCCTCTTCCTGTTAGTCTGTCAGTTAAAAACAATTCACAGCAATTTTTTCATGAGCAAGCTGTTTGCTTACAGAGAAAGAACACTGGCTGAACCCAGTTTCCTTTGTCTCACAGACAAAAGAGGATAGGGTATGAAGGTGTCCACAAACACAAGCACACACACATACACACACACACACACACACACAATGTATGCCCACTGGCTCCACCTCCACATTGGCATATTCTCTCCCACAACCTGACACCTGCATGTTCAGCATTAGCATGAAAGGGACTCTACAGTAGAGATGAATGAATCACTCTATTTCCAGTCGTAGATCCTTTTTTCTGCATTAATCTTGGGGTGTTGTTTTTGTTTAAAAAGATCAATTAAAAATCATATTTAAACATATGTTTTATCCCAAATTACTTGTTTTAAATACATATCTCAAGGTATGCATTCCAACCTGAATTTTATCCTAAAATACAGGGTTTTCATACATTCTCGTTCGTTTTATTGCAAAATTCAGAGAAGTGTGAAATCCAAAGCATAATTACATTTCAATCTGTGCATTAGTCCACCAGCGGCAAATTAGGTAAGTTTACTATATATAAAAAGAAAAAGTAGACCAAATGAAATTCTTCTCCATCCCTATCCTACAGTCCTATAGCCAACAGCAGGCATCATGGGAGGGGGCAGTGGTGCTTACCTGACCTCCTGACAGCTGGGTCACTTCTACTTACCAAGAAGGAAAGAAGCAGGGTGGGCAGTAGGAAGCTCAGGAGGTGCAAATGCACCACCAGATTGTTTCTGCTGGTGCGATGGCACTGCACCAACTTCCTTGCCTTCTCACCGCTCCCCTATAGCAGTGACTCAGCTGTTGAGAGATCAAGTACATGCCCACCATTCTCTATGGTATATCACTGTATGCATATATGCTTCTGCGCATGATCAGGATTGCCCCAGTTTTCCCAACAGCATGGAGCAGCCCACATGTTTAATAACTCCATGTGCACAGAGTCCCTTTTAGCCCCAAGTTAAATATGTGAATGTCAGGACAAGGCCAGTGTCATAATTCTGCTACTTGTAAGAGGTTTGCAGGCCTTTCTCCATGCACACATTCTGTACATTGACTGTTCAGAGGGTAAGCAGGATTGTACCTGCAAATGCCACCCCCTGCTTCTGCATGCTAATCATTAGTGTTAAAGTGGCTGTGTGTGTGTGCTGTGTGCATACAGATTTTGCCACATATTAAGGAACTCTGATCTCTCCAGGTCTTTGCAGGCAAAAGCTCACAGCGCACCAGGTTGTGTCACTTTGGTGTAAACGAAAGACTCAAACTCTGCAGAAAGCCCTGCTGTTGCCAGCAGTGGTTATAATGACACAACTTCATGATTATTAGGAGCTTCACTGATTCAATAAACTACCCTATTCCCTATTCCCTCTGCATCTCCAAGTAAATATTCACTTGCCCAACACTCAACATTCATTTTGATTTTTTCTTGCTGTGTCACAATAACTATTGGAAGGGGGGCCTCTGTAGATGTAAACAAATGCCTCTTGTCAACAGTCTTGTTTCCAAGGGATGCACATGCTAGCTAGCTACCTTGACTGGTTACAATATGGGGAGTTAACACTAATTTCCTTATGTTTACCATCAGTTTATGCTATCAGAAATAGAACATTTAAAATGGGGGATATGAAAAGGTTCCTTGGGGCAGGAGACAAGGTGTTTAAAAGGAATGGGTGATCCTTAGTTATCTGTGAAGGAAGCTAGAAATTCAGAGGCATTCAGAGTTTTATGAAAATGAGATTATGAGAGGTTCAGAGGTGTGTGCAAATGTGTAATTACACACATACACACAGACGTGCAACAAGACTAGAATATTGCCAGGTCATTTCCAGAGGCAAAATAGGAACCCAGTGAGCTGCCTTATACCAACTCATACCATTCATCCGTCTAACTCAGTATTGTTTATACTGATTGGCAGCTGTCCAGGACTTCAGACAGGGCTTTATTCCCAGCATCCCTGAAGATGCTAGAGACTGAACCTGGGACCTTCTGGACCAGATGCTCTGCCACTGAGCTACAGTCCTTCCTTCTTGGCTTGGGTTCAATTCCTTGGGTGAAGCAATTTATTGAAACTTAGTGTCTGGTATCAGTGAAAGCCAAAAGGAGATATTAAGCTGAGAGTTAACAAAGAAATTAGCTTCTGTCAGCAGACTGTAACAATGGACTCTTAACCAACTGTCAAAATTCCCAACATCTCCCAAACAATAGATTTCCTTTAAATTTAAGAAACTCAGCTTCTATGTTATGGTTGAGTTCAAATTATTATTATTATTATTATTATTATTATTATTATTATTATTTATTTATTTATACCCCACCCATCTGGCTGAGTTTCCCCAGCCACTCTGGGTGGCTTCCAACAAAACCCTAAAATACAATAACATATTAAACATTAAAAGCTTCCCTAAACAGGGCTGCCTTCAGATGTCTTCTAAAAGTTTGGTAGTTATTTTTCTCTTTGACATCTGGTGGGAGGGCGTTCCACAGGAAGGGTGCCACTACCGAGAAGTCCCTCTGCCTGGTTCCCTGTAACCTCACTTCTCACAGCGAGGGAACTGCCAGAAGGCCCTCGGCGCTGGACCTCAGTGTCCGGACAGAACGATGGAGGTGGAGATGCTCCTTCAGGTATACTGGACCGAGGCCCTTCCTCTGACTCCCATTGTCTTTGCACTAGATTAACCATGAACTGCTCTGAATTCTCTTCATTCCCCAAATCTTCCATCTCATCTTTGGTCATTTGCATCATAAGCAGAAAATAGCAACAATACTATTGTTGCTAGCTAATCAGCTGGTTTTCCTCTTAATTCATTGCATGCTACAGGGATAGGTAAGCAATAGTTCTGACAGTTTTTGTGACTCTAAAACTCTGATTTGAGAGAAATATATATTTGCTAAAAACAAAGTGAACAGGATGGAGAATAAAATTACGAGACTGAATCAAGCTCAAGAGCAAAATAAACCCCCATCTTTTCATGCTGCCTTTAACATTCCACTAGAGAGAGGCAACAACAATAAGGTAATATTAGTAGGCAAGCTGTTTGCACAATAAAAGCATGACAAGGCTTGGGACAGCACAAAATGCCACAATAAGAATACTTAAGCAAGACTGCAAGTGCAAAATGAACCTATTCTCTCCATGACAACATGCCAGTGGAGTGCAAATTCATGTGCTCTCTCTCGCCCTATCTAAAATGTATTATGGATGCAAAATCAATTCACATTACCTTTCCCAAATTTTGAGGTGATGAATGGGCAGGAATTGCATCTATAAATTACTATTTCGTTGGTATTTCTTGTTGTTTCCATTTTGGGGCTAAAAGGATTCTTGCTCAGTTCTTGCACACAAAAACAGTCTTTTATCTTCCCTTGGTATCTCTTCACTGAAAGAAGAGTGGCAGATGAAGATGATGGACTTTGCAGAACTGACGAAACTGACAGGAAAAATACAAAACCAGCATGATCAAGTATTCCAAAAGGAATGGAGTAAATTTATATGATATCTGAAAGATCATTGTAAGCAATTAACATCACTAGAAGGGTTGTCTGAAGACTTGTAATGATAAATTTTTCCAACTTTCTATATTTTTTAAATTTTGAGTTATTCTGTAATGAGTGTAATTAGAATTGGAAAACGTACAAATTGCAGTGATATAATTTTGAAAGCCATGAGGTGGGAGGGAAGGAAGCTGACAGGCTCTAAGAGCCAGGGTGGTATGGTGGATAATGGTGATGTGAATGTATAATATTAAATGGAAAATAAATAAAAATGATATTAAAAATATATAAATTACTATTTCACTAGTTTATTTTATTAGCTAGACATTTTACACACAAATGCAAGCAGTGTTGTTGTTTTTTAAAGAAGGTTTAGCTTTTAAGAAGAGTTTGGATTTGATATCCTGCTTTATCACTACCCGAAGGAGTCTCAAAGCGGCTAACATTCTCCTTTCCCTTCCTTCCCCACAACAAGCACTCTGTGAGGTGAGTGGGGCTGAGAGACTTCAGAGAAGTGTGACTAGCCCAAGGTCACCCAGCAGCTGCATGTGGAGGAGCGGAGATGCGAACCCGGTTCCCCAGATTGCGAGTCTACCGCTCTTAACCACTACACCACACTGGCTCTCTCTTTTAATGCTACATGTGGTCTTATGGGCCAATACCAAGAGTGACATTTTATGACAATGAAATCATAATGCTACCAATGGCTACGAAGCATGATGACAATGCTCTTCCTCCATAGTTGGAGCCAATCATGCTTCTAAGTACCAGGTGCTGGAAACTGCAGGTTTGGCGAGTGCTCTTGAGCTTGAATCCTGCTTTCTGGTTTCCCACAGGCAACCAGGAGGGGGCAGGGTTGTGAAAACAGGATGGTGCACTAGACAAGCCATTGGCCTCAGCCTCTTCTTATGTTCTTATCATATTCTCATAGGAATACAGGAAGATGCCATACGCTGATTCATCCATGGTTCATCTAGCACAGTACTGTCCACCCTTTCCCCAGGATTTCAGACCCAGCTCTGAGTAGGTGTTGGTTAGACTCACACCTATAATAGATCAGAAACTGAGGGTATAAGGGACATCATGTATGCTATCTGCATACTATGACTCTACTCTGGCCAAAGGAGATAACACCAGCCACATCAAGGAAGTTCTTGAACAACAATAGGTCACAGCAGGGCATGTGAAATCCCTTACCCCTTATAAGCACAAAACTCAGGCTTGCTTGTTAATCTGAGCAGCTAGGAATTTGTACTGTCACTACTTCTTTTGAAGGCTATAGACTGTCGAGAGAGCGCTCTGTGCTATCTGCAGCCCCCCCCCCCCCCCGATCTCCGAGTGTCCTCCGGTGAGCATAGCTCTGGAAAAGGCATCCCCTTCTTCTCCAGGGTGCTCCAGCGACATAAACCAACTTGATTTATGCACACCAGCCTTCTCTCTTGGCACAGCAAAAGAAAGAAGCATCGTAGTTCTAAACTATTATTTATTTACAGAATATTTACAGACAACAGCATTATGGCGTCTTTTTTCTCCAGCCCCGAGAACAAAGCAGAACAACGTAAAGTAGTTTAGCTGTCCAAGGTCTGAACATCAATCCATGGCATCGCCTATTAGAAGAATCTCAGCAGTGCTGAGAAAGACCATTTCTTGAAACCTTGGAGAGCAACCACCAAGTCAGCCAGCATTTTACTAGATCAGCCTTTCGAAACCTGAGGTTCCCAGGTGTCATTGGACTATAACTTCCACCATTCCTGAGCATTGGCCATACTCCCTGAGGATGATGGTAGTTGTAGTCCAAAGGCTGGGAAAGGCGATAGCTTCATTTGTCTATTGGAACATTTATATATACGTGTATTGTGGGCACACAGGCACACACACACACAGTGTGTTCATTCTCCAAGATTAGCTCAAATATCTGCCTGCTACATCCTGCTCTTATATTTAATCTTGAAAATGAAATCTGCATATGGAGTAATGAGACCACTTCAATAAATTATTCTCATGGAAATGATAAATGTTATATCAGAAAGCGTGTTCTGCCTGCATCTTTTCACTTTGACCTAAGGAATATTCTCTTTCACTGTATGTTTGCAGAGTAGTCTCCTTGGGAGTTTACAAATCCTACAGCAATCCAAATAATAATAATCTCCTTTGTATAGGGGCTTTGAGAAGCTTTTCCAGGTTCAGTCTTCTAACTTACTTTTGTCTGCAATTATTCCACTTAATGTTTGGATTAAGTTTCAAACAGTGTGTCATGCTAATCTAAGAAATAATTGCAACTGGCTAGATAGATTTCACTAGACCAAGGAATGAGAGCGTGTTTTTAATAATTAAATTCATTCACCTATTGCAATGCTCATCTGTCCTAGGGATAGACTAATTTGCTTTTCTGTGATATCTAGCTTAATTCGCCACCACACTTTGGGACATAGGGGCATTTTTTACTTCACACACACACACACACAGAGAGAGAGAGAGAGAGAGAGAGAGAGAAAGGGGGGCAGAAAGAGAGCTCCAAGCTAGATGGGAATGGCCATCTCCACCATTCCATTTTCAGGGATATTTGATAGATCACTCTAGGGGACAGATTACTATAGAGTTCTTACCTGGAACTAGCTATCATTGTCTTCTTGTTTGATAATAAGAAGTGAACTGCAAAGCTTGTCCAATGAATTGATAGACTGTCAACTTACTGTCAAACTTGATGCTAATTGTTAGGTGAGTGGGGTGGTTGTTTTATGTGGGCCCATTTTTGTGGACAAACACTTTTAGTGTATTTGTTTTGTTTTCATTGAGTTTCATGTTATATTTTGTATGTCCTTCCTTGTAAATGGCTTCTGGACTTTTTTTGGCAGTGTGAAACAATACATCAATCAGCACCTCCTGTCCCTAAACTGTGCCAACTGGTCATTACAGGAACAACTGTTTAGAAACTGGTGCCTGGATTTTTATTTGGATTCTCCTCTTCCCTCCATTTCCCTTTCCCCTTGTGTGTCTTGTTAGCCCATGGGTAGCCTTGTTTTGTATGTAAGCTGCTCTGGTAGTCTTTTTTTTCTGAAGAGCAGGGTACAAATGCTCTAAAAATAAATAATACATACATTTATTTTAAAGTGATGGCTCCCAGTTTGGGAATGGGGAATAAAAGATTTGTCTTTTCAGGTGTCTTGCTGTGCTGGATATTGTGGGATATTTAAAGATGCAGTCAAACCAACAATTTGTGTTTTGCTAGATAGGGATGTGATAGGAGCTGAAGTTCACAGAGTTTCTTGTAAGTTTGCTAGAGAAGACCGTGAGAAACACTCCCACTGGGCCCTGACAGAGGCAGGGCATAGCTATATATTCTCCTACCTGCCTGGGCACACCCTCTTCCACTTTCAATCTCTTTCTGCTCTGACAGCAATGTGGCAACATCTGCTTAGTCTGAGCTCCAAGGCCAGACACATTACCACTTTAAGCTGGCCTGAACAAAGCTGCTGTATTTGTTACTCTTCAACAAGTATTCTGAGTAAATATTATTATTTTTATATTTTA